ATCCAAAGACCTTAAAAAAAGCCTTTAACAGTTGGAGCAATCTGTAGACTATAATATTTACTCATTTAGTGAAAAACTAGAAAGACATGATAACTGATGCAGAGATGAATAAATACCACCTGATTCTTACAGGGGACTTCAGAAACATAAACCTCATCCATGGCCATGACCCTCAAGTAACTGAATTGACAAACACTATGGGCAGCTGCTTCTGCCAATAATAACAAAACCTACTAGAATCTCCAAGATGAATGCCTCTTTACTAGACCATATCTGGACAAACATAATATCCCCATTAAAAGCAGGCATAATCACAGATAACACCAAAGACTGCTATCCCACCTTTCTTGTAACCAACCTAAGTAAATTGCCTCAGGACACAACTATTTTTTTACAAAAAATCCAAAAACTCTATAACATGCATTCCCGATAAAAACAAAGATCACAGCAAATGGACTCAACAGTCCCTGGCTTACAAACAGTGTATCCTCAAATCTATTCATTGTAAAGTGTATGGTAGGGGTATTACTGAAAGAATTAGAGGTAAGACAGAGAGCAGGACTGCTGATGAACAAGGAGGCTTTAGAATGTTTAGACCAAGTGTTTACATTGAAGTGGGTTTAGAAAAGGCATATGATAGGGTGGATAGGGGAGCAATGTGGCAAATGTATGGAATAGGTAGTAAGTTACTCTATGCAGTGAAGAGTTTTTATGAGGCTAGTGGGGCTCAGGTTAGGGTGTGTAGGAGAGAGGGAGATTACTTTCCAGTAAAAGAAGGCCTTAGACAGAGATGTATAATGTCACCATGTTTGTTCAACATATTTATAGATGGGGCTGTAAAAGAAAGTAAATGCAAAGGTGTTAGGAAGAGGGGTGGGATTAAATTATGGGGGATCAAATATGAAATGGGAGTTGACACAGTTACTTTTTGTTGATGATACTGTGCTTTTGGAAGATTCTAAAAAGTTGCAAAGGTTAGTGGATGTGGAAAATGTGTTGTGTTGCTGTTGGTTTAAAATATATTTGGGAATGAAAAGAGAACCAAGAGCAGGGGTCTTGGCTCATGCGCCAAGGGTCACATGGGCAGGGCGGTCGCATGGGTCAGGGAGTCACGTGGGTATGGGCAAATGGCGTGGGTGTCTGGTCAAAATGGGACCAGAAAATTAGCATTCACAGCAGCCTAAAGGATTAATATAGGCCTCATTTCATAATAGGAAGTGTTTTAACTGTTCCTGGTGAAGAGTGAGGGACAGTAATTTACGAAACCACTATAATAGGGTGGTAAAAATAGTACGACACAGCCTGGGAGAATGTATGGTGTGAAGACCAGTCAGTTTGATCTTCTCTCAACACATTCAAAACATAGTGCATCGACTTTTAACAAGTGGAAATTAACAGGATATTGTGTCACCTTGTGAACTGTGAAGAAATCAGTGATAATAACACTAAATTAAGGGAATGTGTGAGATGATAAGAGCCATCATTCCCAGAGTGACCACATGGTAACCTCGTGTCCCCGTTCCAAGGACCACGGAGGTTTTACGGAGTTCCCTCTCCTAAATTGGAACAAACCAAATTGGGAACATCCTCCTGCTGAAGGAGGAACCATATCAATTTAGCAGGACTTAGAGATCGGAGGGGGAAATAAAGAAGATAAAGAATGCTGCCTCCTCATCCACAGTTAACTGACCCTTCTTGTTTATCAAGCTAGTTGGCCAGTTTAGGTTTGTTATAATGAGATAGGTATTGTGGGTGTTTCAATGATCTTAAGTGACAACCAGTGAAAATTGGGTAAGTGGTGGTATTATTGTATCAGTGTGTATGTGTAACCCCTTACCTTTTTCCCAGTCAGTCAAATTTATGTATACAATCCACTAACGCGACGGGCTGGAGTTTTGAGACTCTATGACCGCGGGTTCAATCCCGGCCGGGGGTATGGTTCACTATCAGTTTCAATACAATAATTATTGGTGTTGCTTAACCTTAATCTTATAATTATGGTCCAGGTTGGTTGTGGACAGAGGGTGGTGGTTATCAGAAGGAGACGCTCTCCCTGTGACCAGGAGGGGCTCAAAACATTTTCCAGTACATAAGAAGTGCAACAGATGTAAATAATGGATTATTGTTGTCTTCTAATTAAATTACTTGCACGAGTGTAATGTTGAGGTACATGCAGGTGATTTATTCCCCACAGTGGATGAGTTTGGGAAGGTGTGTGCAAAGAAAGTGGATACTGAACATAGATAAAAGTAAGGTGATGAGGATATCAAACGAGTTAGGTAAAGAAAAACTGGATATCACATTGGAGGGAGGGAGTATGGAAGAAATGAATGTGTTTAGATATCTGGGAGTAGATGTGTCAGCAGATGATGAGTTTATGAAAGACGAGGTTAACCACAGAATTAATGAGGATAAAAGGTGCGTGGTGCATTGAAATATCTGTAGTGCCAAAAAAAAAAAAAAATGTTATCCATGGAGGCAAAGAAGGGAATGTATAAAAGTAAAGTGGTACCAACACTCTTGTATGGGTGTGAAGCATGGGTTGTAAATGCTGCAGAAAGAGGAAGGCTGGAGGCAGTGGAGATGTTGTGTCTAAGAATAATGTATGATGTAAATTTTATGCAGAGAATTCATAATGAGGAAATTAGGAGGTGTGGAGTTACTAAAAGTATTAATCAGTGGGCTGAAGAGGGGTTGCTGACATGGTTTGGTCATCTAGTGAAGAGGGAGGGTGTATAAATCTGTAGTGGAGGGGAGGAGGGGTAGGGGTAATCCTAGGAAAGGATGGAAGGAGGGGGTAAAAGGGATTTTGTGTACAAGATATATAAACTCATGTCACAGATTCAGTTGTAATAAATAACTGTAAATGAATAAACAGAAAGATAGATGGGAGGCTTGAACTATGGCTCATAAATTAACAGGTCCATTACACTACTGTCGGAGATCCTGGCTTCTAATAAGAGAAAAATCAGAAACAGAACTTCAGTATTGTATTGTCAGGGGCACTAACTGTAACCCAACTGACTCTTCCCCATGGCCCAGGAGCTTTAGCAGTAAATCTATTCTTACTTTCCTCATGGCCATATAATCTATGAACTCAGATTAAGTTGTAATAAACAAGTGTAAATGAATAAGCAGAAAAATGGATGGGAGGCATCAACCATGGTCCATAAATTAACAGGATGCAAAGTGTTCCTAAATAATTTTTTGGTTCCAAAGTGTCATTGCCATAAGTGTTAAGTGTCACACATGTGCATTGTAGTACATCAGAGCATCATAGGTTTAGGTTTTGGGTTTAGCCATTCAACCTTGAGGTGCATTTGTCTCATACTTTGTTCAGTGGACACATATTAGTGAAGTATTAGGTTATTTGAGAGACATTTGTGTTCTTCAGTTATTAGTTGTGCTTGACCATACCCTAGGACAGTGGTATTCATTGCACGGCTTGCGATGACTCAATTCAAGGCTCTCGAAAAATATATAAATTAATTAATAAAAAAAAATACATATAGAAAAATAATCTTTCAAGTAAGATACATATTTTCATAAGGTGAGATGGAAGACGAAGTCACAGTAAGAGAAAACATTCTAACATCCCTACCCTAGTCATACAGAAATCATACGTGTCCACTACTGTCCACTACGGGAAATTGATCAGGGACATGTCTAGCTCTAGGTTTCGGTGAGTTCAAGCTTTCCAGGGGGAGACTGGACGTATTTCGTTACTCTTGGAGATTTGTGTTTGAAAATTATTTTTTTTTTATTATCACACTGGCCGATTCCCACCAAGGCAGGGTGGCCCGAAAAAGAAAAACTTTCACCATCATTCACTCCATCACTGTCTTGCCAGAAGGGTGCTTTACACTACAGTTTTTAAACTGCAACATTTACACCCCTCCTTCAGAGTGCAGGCACTGTACTTCCCATCTCCAGGACTCAAGTCCGGCCTGCCGGTTTCCCTGAACCCCTTCATAAATGTTATTTTGCTCACACTCCAACAGCACGTCAAGTATTAAAAACCATTTGTCTCCATTCACTCCTATCAAACACGATCACGCATGCCTGCTGGAAGTCCAAGGCCCTCGCACACAAAACCTCCTTTACCCCCTCCCTCCAACCTTTCCTAGGCCGACCCCTACCCCGCCTTCCTTCCACTACAGACTGATACACTCTTGAAGTCACTCTGTTTCTCTCCATTCTCTCTACATGCCCGAACCACCTCAACAACCCTTCCTCAGCCCTCTGAACAACAGTTTTGTTAATCCCGCACCTCCTCCTAACTTCCAAACTACGAATTCTCTGCATTATATTCACACCACACATTGCCCTCAGACATGACATCTCCATTGCCTCCAGCCTTTTCCTCGCTGCAACATTCATCACCCATGCTTCACACCCATATAAGAACGTTGGTAAAACTATACTCTCATACATTCCCCTCTTTGCCTCCAAGGATAAAGTTCTTTGTCTCCACCGACTGCTAAGTGCACCAGATATAGGCAACAGATATTTGAGACTGCGGCAACATATATGAAAGTAACAACTTAACTGTTGCTGCTTGTGGAACCTAGCTGCGATGGGCTAGTTTTACTTGAAGCCAAAGTGCAGTCAAGTAGTGTCCGTTATGATGGATCGATTTGTGGTTAAACAAAAACGCAATAGTGATGAACAGCCATCCCAGACCCGACCAGTAGAAAAGGAGCATTAAGTAAGTTTGGTCTTTATTTTGCTATTAATAACAAGATATGCAGGCTAATATTACCATGTCTAATTTTTCTCATTTACTATATTGCACTAGCAGCTCAGTACTACTTAATTTAGTTGAGTTACGCTAACTTGCAGTAGCTGCGGCTCTCTCAGTCAATGTGTTTAACCGAAGTGGCTCTCTTGCAAAAATTAGTGAATAACACTGCCCTATGATGTGACCCACAACAGTCAAACTAACTCCCAGTACATTTTTTACTGAAAGTGAATGGGGCAGTGGGTGTAATGAGACTCACCCATTTGTTTTGACTTGCTCATGGCTCTAATGTACAAATATTGTCTTTGACAGATTTTTCACTCCATTTGAGGTACTGTGGTCAAGATAATATATATCTATAAAAACAAAATTTTCAGACAATATTTAATAATATTTTTTTAAATTTTCAAATAAGATACTTCTAGTACATAAACATTGTCAAATTAAAAGGGGATATTCTAAAAGCAAAAAATATGAAACTGAAAAGAAAATGATAATGCATATTTTACCCATCCCTAAGGTTCATAATTAAAGACATCTGGACAACACTCAAAATCCAATATAGGTATAGAGCCACATATAATAAAATAATTGCTGTAATAAAAATCCTTACCTCAAAGTTTTGTCCTATATATGGATCAGGCAGCACAATGATGATGTCAAAGTCTGTCTTGAGCTTAACAGAGAGAGCTTCATAGGCACTTCCTCCATGCATAACATCGACAAAATGAGCATTGTACAGAAAAGTATTGGTCCTGAATTGTTTCTGAAGTTCCTTGACAAAGGCATCTACCACCTACAAAATAAAGATCATGGTAATCCATATTTAATATAAAACTAAATTTGTATTAGCATTTTTCATTTTTATTTTTTTAAAAACTTATCATCTATTGAAAATATTTAAACTAAATGGGGTTCAGTAGACCACCACCTTTTATGCCTCCACTTACTGCATTTCCACCTGTGTATGATTCCCTTTTAGTATCTATTTCCTCCTTTTGCTCTGAAGTTCCCCCACCTGTTACAGTGATTACTCTTTTGTGTCTATCAGTCAACTTGAAGAATTCAAGTTTTTACCAAATACATTTATACTGTCTGTGTGCTCATTTTAATTTTATACATGTATTGAGAGAACTTACATTTGTTTGGTAGAAATTTATAAAGAACCACAGTTTTTATATTTATGTTTTTGTTAAGGTTTATTACAAAATTTCCTTGGTTAGTTTTTAACCATATGCATTCATACTTTGTTTATTATCACTCCTTATACATATGTGTAAAGAGCTCATATTTATTTAGTAGAGATTGGTCAAGATTTAATAGCTAAAAACCATGAGTGGCTAAATTAAATGTTGAACACTCAATGTATCGAGACATTGAGGTGGCTGGTGAGGTTGGCTGCCAGCCTGCCACACTCAACTCACTATTTGGCTAAATATATTCTTCAACCTTCCCCACTTCTCTTTCTGCATTTGATTCCATTCATCATCAAGGGTTATGTTCATAAAAAAAAAAAAAAAAACCATTTCACAGGTGGGGTGGGGGGGTAGAACCTGTGGTTTCTATCCTCGCCCGTGGGGCTTTTCAATTTTCCTCAGCACCTACAGAATAAGAATAAATTGGTGTTGAAGACTCATGCCATTGACTAGTTTGGATATCGTATTTCTAGAAAGGTATTAGGTATTCCTTAAGAATGTAGAGATAATTTTGAATTTGCTGTTTCCTAAGTTGGTAGGGAAGGTTCAGTCCTCTATAAATATGGTTACATATTACTATGAACTTATTAGAAATTTCTCTAATTTGCTTAAAAAATTATAGGTTAAATTTGCCTTCAATAGAAGAGAATGCTGTTCAGAGTATATAAGATGAATTGTTACATTTGGACACTGAAAACTGAGGTCAACGCTTTCCCTGTAAGTACTGAAGTGTACTTGTGCAGGAAATTAATGGTCAAGAGAAGACCTTGTGCTTTGCAAGTAAACTTTCTCCAAATGAACTAAATTATTTACAGCTGGACATAGGATTGGCCTTAGAATGTACAGTGGACCCTCGGATATCGACCATTCCTAGTACGTACAGTGGACCCTAGGATATCGACCATTCCGGATATTGGCCAAACTGAATTTCGGCTGCTTTTTCGGCTGGAATTCTATCCTGGATTCCTGGATTTCGGCTGCCAACTCGGAAATGGTCCGTACAATGGACCCTCTGTTTTTGGGATTAATCCGTTTCAGAGTCTGACAACACCCGAAAATCACAAAAACCGAAATCATTTTCCTCACAAATAATGTAAATCCAATTAATCCGTTCCAAACACCCAAAAGTATTAACAAAAATAAAATTTTTTGGAGATTAAATATAGATTTACACACAGAAAACAATGACAAATCAATATAAAGCACTAATAAAATGTATAAATGAACATTTAACATCACACTTACCTTTATTGAAGAGTTTTGTTGGTGTATGGAAGATGGGGAGGAGGGGAGAAGGACTGCTTATTCTTTGGAAGGGGAATCCTCTTCCATAAAGACTTCAGGTACCAAGTGCTTATCCGGGGTTACTTCTCTTCTTTGTTTTTTAATGGCACTAGGACCAGCTTGAGTCACTGGACCCCTGCCGCACAAAGATTTTTTCCAGAGAGCTCTGTTTCTGGCGTCTCTAAGATTTGCCTAAAATGGGACAAGGCATTGTCACTGAACATGTTGCAGACACAACCTACAACAGCTTTGTTAGGGTGATGTTCCTCCACAAATGTTTGCACCTCACTCCACTTTGCACAAATATCTTTAATCACTGAAAATATCCTTCTCTCTTCCTCCTCCCTTGAAGCAATTTCCTTAAATGTGGTCTGTTGCTGTTCCAGATGGTCTTGCAGCTCTTCAAATGTACAGCTAAACTACAGCTAAACATATTGATAAATGGTTCATCTATTTCTAGACAGACAGAGGGCAAATTTCTAGGTCTCTGCCTTGACTGCAGTCTCAAATTTCAGACACACATACAGCAAATTTCTAAGAAAGTCTCCAAATCAGTAGGCATCCTTTCAGAGATATGGTACTATGAACCCCAATCAGCTATTCTAGCTTTGTATCACTCTCTCATTTACTCTTACCTCACCTATGGCATTTGTGCATGGGGCTCAACCAAAGCAAATCACCTTACGCCTTTAAGAACCCAACAAAAAGCTGCAGTGCAATTGATTACTAACTCCTACATTAGACAACACACTCCACCTCTTGTTCAAGAGTTTTAACTTGCTAAATATACAAAACATCCACACATATTATTGTGCCTACTACATACACAGAACACTATACTCAAATGTAAACCCTCCTCTCAAACTCTTCCTTGATAACTATAACAGAACACACAGTCATAATACAAGACAAATCACTCTTCGATATCCCTTGTGTCCATCTCTCCCTATGCAAAAATGCTATTCACGTAAAAGGTCCAAAGATCTGGAATTCATTGCCAGAACACACTAAAGGACCCCTTGTCTGTAAATCAGTTTAAGGTCCTACTAAGAAATCACCTCATCACCCAAAATTAACCAGACAAACCATACCTAATCACTACCAGTTTCTCAAAAGCTACTCATATTGTGCTGATGAATGCTCAACCACTTACTCACTACTACAAAATTAGGATGTCTAAATTTCATTGTTTTAAGCAGTACTAAATTGTAATACATCATAATGTAAATTGCTTTTAAACTGTTCCAATGTAATACCAAACATCATTATTTTAAATAGTACTAAACTGTAATACACCATATTGTAAATTGTTTTAAAATGTTCTATTGTAATACTGTAATTTTTATAAACTAATTCAAGTGTAATAAGCCTCTACTTAACTTATCAAAGCCATGTAGCATTACTTGAAAGAATATTCAATTTTCTTGTACTCACTGTAACTCATCTAATGACCATATGAACTATTATTGCCTTCCTAATCTTAAGTTAATCTTTAAGTTTGCCCGAAATGCTCTGCATACAAAGGGGCTTTTGGCATGTACACCCAACTCTTATATTCCTCTGTAAAACCGTGTATCATGTCAAAATCAACATCTTAATCTTAATCTCTTCAGTGGTCCTCCATCTCTTCCACATCCTGGCCACTCACATCCAACCCCATGGACTTCCCCAAAGCCACAATAGATTCCACAACAGGTGCAGGGTTGCAAGGTGTGTACGGGGAAGTACCCTGGCTGGTGTGTGGGGAAGTACCCTTGCTGGTGTGTGTGGGGAAGTTCCCTGGCTGGTGTGTGTGTGTGGGGAAGTACCCTGGCTGGTGTTTTCTTTCTTGAATTCTATCATGTTTCTTGCCTTCTTTATCAAAGGGCTGGCACTAGGAGCTTTCTTTTGGCCCATGGTGGTTTATCTAGCAGTGACACACAATAAACAAGAGCAAACAATAGTGGATTAAGAAATGTTTCGTATGACCTCATAGGGTAATGTTCACTCGCCGAGAAACAATGCCACACTAACTCTAAATGCTTGTTTGGGAGACTTGCAGGTACTGGGACATGTTCTGTACGACTGGCGATAACTGAAAATCACAAAATCAGAGGGTAATAACTGAAAATCACAAAATCAGAGGGTAATGAAAACAGAGGGTCCAGCCCACCACTCCGCCGTGTTTGTGAGTCAGTCTGGCTGCGTCTCTGGGTGAGTGAGCAAGACTGTGCATTCATCCAAGCATTTCGTTATAATCCATTGTTTTTTGTGGTTGTTTATTGAGTGCAACTGCAAAATAAGCCACCATGGGCCCAAAGAAAGTTCCTAGTGTCACCCCTTTGGCAAAGACAGTGAGAAACACGATAGAATTCAAGAAAGAAATTGTAGCAAAGTACGGGAGTGGTGTACGTGCCGAGGAGCTTGCCAGGATGTATGGGAAATCCAAATCAACAATCACTTCCACCCTGGCAAAGAAAGTAGAAATCAAGGAAGATAACGTTGCAAAAGGGGTAAATATGATAATGAAACAAAGATCAATAATCGAAGATGTGGAGAAGTTATTGTTGGTGTGGATCAACGATAAACAATTAGCAGGAGGATAAGTGTTGTGGAGTCAATCATTTGTGAAAAGGCAAGGCAGTTGCATATGGATCTTGTAAAGAAAATGCCTGGAACAAGTGCTGCTGTTAGTGAATTTAAGGATAGCAAAGGCTAATTTGAGAGATTTAAGAAGTGCAGTGGCATACACAGTGTTGTAAGGCATGGCAGGGCTGCAAGTTCAGACAAACGTGCAGCTGAAGAATTCATGCATGAATTCAAGGAGTACATAGAGACTGAAGGATTACTCCCCCAGCCAGTGTTCAACTGTGACGAAACAGGCCTCTTTTGGAAGAAAATGCCAAAGAGGACCTACATCATGCAGGAGGAAAAGGCACTGCCAGGACACAAGCCTATGAAGGATACACTTACGCTTTTATTCTGTGGTAACATTACTGGGGATTTCAAAGTGAAGCCTTTAATGGTGTATCACTCTGAAAATCCCAGAGTGTTCAAGAAAAACAATGTTGTCAAGAGTAAATTGTCTGTGTTGTGGAAAGCTAATAATAAGGCATGAATCACAAGGCAAATTTTCATTGACTGGGTCCATGAAGTGTTTGGGCCAAGTGACTATCCAGCACTATCCTAAACAATGCTAAAAGTCTATCAGTACTTAACTACAACATCAGGTCCTTAAGCAAACACTATGATGACCTCCTAGCACTCCTTGAATCACTAAAGACACCCTTCTCCTGCATTATTCTTACTGAGACCTGGCTTAAGCAGGACACAATAGATATCTACCCTCTACCAGGATACACAGCAATTCACAACTGCAGACCAAACCAAGTTGGGGGTGGTATTGCAATCTATTACTCTAACCAATTATCTTGTATTAGCACCACTTGCTTTAGTGATGAATATGGGGAATACATTTTTGCTAATTTTACTGTAAAAAACCTTAAGACGCCTATAACAATTGGTGCCATTTACCGGATACCTCACACAAACATCCCAAATTTCAGTGAGAAATTAAAGTCACTAATAATAAACAGACATATGAATAAGCACCACCTTCTCTTAGCTGGAGACTTCAACATCAACCTTGGCTTACTAGATGATCAGCCTGTAACTGATTTCATCAACAATATGAACAACACACTTCTCATACCAACAATAACTAAACCAACCAGGCTCACTGAGACAAGTGCAACCATAATAGACCACATATGGACCAATATACTAGCCCCCCTTAAATCAGGGAAAATCACAGATAGCACTACAGGCCACTACCCTACCTTCCTCCTGACAAACATTAGTAAACCACCACTTGAATACAACAAAGTCTCATTTAGACTCCATGACGAGGCCTCAGTAAGGAAGTTCACAGCCGACCTAGAGACTGTTGACTGGCCTACAGAATTCTCCAAGGCCAATGGTTTTGATGACTGGACAGACATTTTTCTTAACAAATTACTTAGACTATACAACAAACATTGTCCTATAAAAACAAAACAGATCACAAACAAACGGCTTGGTTGCCCATGGCTAACCAGCACCATTCTGAAATCCATTGACAAGAAACACCAATATGAAAAGCAATATAGACAAGGCTTAATACACAAAGATATTCTTAAACACTATTCATCAGCTCTCACCAAAGTAATAAAGAAAGCCAAACAACTATACTACTCCAGTAGATTCACAGACACTAGAGGAGATATAAAAAAAGACCTGGAAAACACTCTCTCAGATTCTAGGGACCCACAAACTGAGAAAAACCAAGAATATTGTCCTAACTAAACCTAATGAAACACCACTACATCCCACTGACACAGCTAACAAGATAAACGACTTCTTCTCAACCATAGGATCTAATCTCGCCAGTAAAATCCCACATACCAATGCCCATGCCGGGGACTACCTAGATGGGAATTTCCCTAATTCCTTCTATCTTGCACCAACTGAGCCCACGGAAGTCACCGAGATTATAAAGTCACTTAAAAATAACTTGGGGAATCTGTCTCATGTTCCACCATTACTGTACAAGCGAGCGGCCCATGTCCTTTCGCATGCTATTTCATTACTCTTTAACAAGTCA